ACATAATATCACAGATTATATAAAATAATATAATTATTATATATTATATCCTCTGTGATGATATCATAAAATATGTTTAAAAATGTGTACATTTATCAAAATTGTTTTTTTGGTTATCTTAATTGTTTCGAAAAAAGTTGTACTTATAAATAGATAATGGGAATAATTAGTTTCACATAATATTATTTAAAATTGAATCGATTTTTTTAGAAAAATAAATAATACTTTGTTATTTAACATAACAAATATGCATTGAGCATAAAAAATTATTATTTGTTTTTATTTTTAGTCTTTAGCTGATACCTATAACTCTTAAATACATATTGGAACTGGAATCTGGACTTCTAATTAATATGACTGAACATAAACCAATGCCTGAACACATTGTTTTGACACCAAATGAAAAAACAAGAACTTTTGTTCAGATAGTATCCTTTTTTAAATTATATAATTGTTGTATAATGGTATAATGAATTACAATATTGTTTAAGCATTATGTATGTTCAATAAACTTTTGATAAAATATTAAAATTGAAAATAGAAAATACTAGATTAAAAATAACATTCATTAGACTATTTTAAATTTTTATTACTAGCATAATCTTAAATATTTTTGCTCTAATGCCATTTCCTGAATTAGTCATAATACTCTATTGCAGTATTGCGTGTGTTTTTCCGTTTTAAAAGTGCGTAATGTGTAAAATTTTACGCTCAGCAGTTCCAATTAAGCTCCTTTAGTTTAAAATTTAGAGTGAATTGACCTCTTATAAAAATTAAAAGTAAAATTAATATCTAGGTTATCACATAGGCTTTTTTTATATTTTAATTTTAGAGCAAGTTATGAGTATTTTAAGATATTTTAAGACAACACATACGGATGTGGTGATTGCGTCCTTTTAATGGARACTACATATTATTATATTGGTGTATAGCCACCATGCTACCCACATACAATACACAATTACTATGTACTACTACTACTACTAAAATTTTTGAACTTGAACATTTTTAGAAAAACTTTTTGTTCCTTTGTAAAATTAGCCTGATTGTACATAATAT